GCCGCTTCGCTTATTGTTGTGGTGCATACCACCATTCCACTGAATGCATGATGTGTCCTTTACTGTCTTTCTTAACAGCTACAGGTTCAGAGAAACACCCGGCCGGGCAGACAGGGACACCTTACTGCGTGGCGCTTCATTGCAGTCCTCTACTACTTCAAGCGACTTCAAGACTCGGAGGGGGCTGCACCCACAGATCAAAAATGCAAGAAATGCTTGCCATTGCTTTTAGACAATCTGGGGGGTAAATTTACCCCCCGCTTTTGGATGCCTTTGCCGGTTCTTTGGGGCAGTCCAGGGGAGGCTTCAAGTTCTATTTGCACCCACACATCAGATAATGCAAGAAATGCTTGCCATAGCTTCTACAAAATCTGAGGGGTCAATTTACCCCCCACTTTTGGAGGCCTTTGCCGGTTACAAAGTATCAGTTATATAAACGTAAGTCAAGCTTCTTTGGGGCAGTCCAGAGGGGGCCTCCAGCTCTATTTGCACCCACACATCAGTGATGCAAGAAATGCTTGCCATAGCTTCTACAAAATCTGAGGGGTAAATTTACCCAATAGAGCACTCTTATTTCTCCTCAGCCTTTCATAAGCACTCTTATTTGTCCTGCTTTAACTTTTTTCCTCTTTACAATTCTCAGCCGAAAAAGTCCGGTGCGCTTCCGCTAGCTTTCGACCTCCTCCCCCTGGCCTCAAGTTGGCCACAATGGCCCCAAAGAGCGCAAGACTATATATTCGATAATGCATGAGAATGCATTGTTTGGAGGGATAGATTCGCATCTGACAGGTTCGATCCGAAAATCTCATCCAAGACATCCCTCGTTTCAAGCATTTTCTCCATTCAACTGAACTTGATCAAAATGACCCCAACATGTTCTTTTTCTGTAGTACTTGTGGCAGCTGCGGGTCCCCACGTCTTGCAGAAGCTGGGCCAGTTGGGCCATAGTGTGCTGGAGGTTCTGGCATGGCCCTGGACAACCTCGTTTTGCCCATTGTGAGATATTGTGAGCATGCTGGAAATGCCAGAATCTATTGTCTCCAGTGCCAGTGGCACTCACAAAGGGGCCAGTGGCGCGTCCGTTGGAGCACGCACACGCTTGTCAGTGCACGCTGGCTTGCTTGGATGGTTTCAAACATTTGTTCTTTTCATATGAGGACAGATGCAGGTGCATTTTTTGAAGTCTAGTTTGGATGTGTGCAACATGTATGCCCAAAACCATATTGAACAAGTAGAATTGCTGTAAGCTATGTTGAAAGGGCCAAATCTGGAGAAGATGCATCCATACTAGCTTCTAGGTTCCAAACCATGCAAAAACCACCGCGTTGCCACACGCTGGCGCACAGCGTTGCACGTGATGCGTGCTGAAACTGCAGCCAATGCGTTAGTGCCAGCCCCAAAAATGCATCGGTAAGGGCCACTTGATGTCATTGAGTTTTCCCAGACGCTGCATTTCTGTCCGCGTTGCAACGGGCAGCGTTTGCGTTGGGCACTGTGGGGCGTCTAAACACATTATACTCATATTATAATGTAACACATATTAAAGTACACATGACATAGGACAATAATACAATCAAGGCTTCTGTCACATTCATCTTCTCAAACACTCCTTTGCTGTCCATTATACTTTCCACCAACCTTCTCCAATCCTCTTACTCCCTCAAATCCGCCAGAAAACCATTGCTCCAGCTCTCCCCCCCTGCTGGCCGGGGTCTTCTCCGAAAATATCACGTTCGTGGCACAAAACAGCGAAACACGGATTGATCCTGCCTCTGCTTTTGATGTTGCGAAGCGAGAACCACATGGTCATCCATCGATGATAAGGGACAAACATGATTGCAAGAAGTTGTAAGACATATATTTATGTGAGGATTTAATTAATATGTTTTCTGAGGATGTCCTTTTTTGCAGGTGGTCGTCGTCGTTGTCTTCGGTCTCCCAACCTTAATACCCCACCCCATCTCCGGACGCCCACCATTCGCGCGACCCGCGCGCCGCGCCACAGTCTCCCTCTGCAGCGACCTGCCGGACCTGGACGAGCTTTGGGCCGCGGGCGCTGCACCGGGCCTGCGCTGCCGAGCGCTGGAGGCTGTGGAAGTGCGTTGCAGGCGAAGAAACCGGGGAGCGGGGAGTGGAGGCAGTGGGGAGGGCATCGATCCCATGGAAGCTGTACATGTAATACAGTCCTTAGAATCCTTGGAGGAACTTGGAAATCAGAACTCCAATTTCCTGAAACTCCACTCAATCCACCTCTTTCCCGACGAGAAGTCTTGCAACCAGTGCACCACTTTGTAAACAACACGACTCGTCCATGAGCACCACCAAGTGGTGAGCACACAAAAAGCCAGGCAAGCCATGGAGACGTCAGACCACTCTCGAAAGAGGGATTTGTCAGAAAGAAAACTTTTGATACTGCTCTGGCCTCCCCGGTGGATTTTGTCACCATTTTCTCTGTGAGACGGTCAAGGTGCCAGAACTATTTTGAGGCAGGGCCCAATGTACCAAACATTAAGGAGACTGTGAACCTGTTTCAGAGGACTTGCTTGCAGAGCAGTTGAACCGTTGGGGAAGGAGCATGAGGGAATGGGGAATACACCAAAGCTGCAAGGTCTAGATGTTTTAAAGAGGAACCTTTACTTCTTTAGTAACAAGAAGCTACAAGGAACACAGGGCATCGCTACTAGTAACAAGGGCATTACTACTAGGAGCAAGAAGCTACACGTAGCTCCTCACAGGTGGGTTTGGCTTTTCCCTGCAAGTCCTGCGGGTTTGCTCGGATCCGCGCCCTGGGAAGTCACCACAAGAGTATCAGCTGCATCTCAATGAATTCAATTAACTTTGAAGGGTGGATTGGTCATCCTTTCTCTTACATAATGATATAATGTGTTATAGTAGTCAAGTAACGTCTGGGGGACTTGGGGAATGCGAGAACGCGTGCGTCCCGGCTTGAGTCGTTGTCAGGGACTTGGCAAGGGCCCTGAGCGACGTGTTCTCAGGCACCGGTGTTGTTGTGGGCGAGCAAAAGGACTCGGGGACCTATTGGCTGACTGTTGATCAACTCTCCCTACTGGAATGGTCAAGCACATCTACCTTCCAAGGAGTGAACATGGATCAAACGTGCACATGAAGCTTATAAGCCTGCAAAAACCAAGTGTCCAAAGCCCCGCAGCTGATCGAGACGATTTCCCTTCATCAACAGGTCTCTTTGGAATCGCCATCAATTTCTCTTCGAAAGTGTGGCTTCGGTCACAGGAGGACAGAAGTACAGCTGTGGACCAACCTGCCTCCGAGATTTGTCCTTTTCGCGTTGATATAAACTATAAACCCGACCCAAATCCCCTTGTACCAGTCATTTGGTTTCCCACTTCTCGCTCAGAACTCCTTCTCGCTCCGGTCTTGGGTCGTCCGTTTCCACCCTTCCGGTGGGTTGCCCCTGAGACACCAGGCATTCACTTTGTACCACGCTTCGGAGCTGCCATGGCGCAGCTCGGCCATGACACCGGCGGGTGGGGTTCAAGAGATCTATCACCAGGCCTACATTAACCCCGGCGGGTCAAGCATCGCACATGTAGGTAACTAATGGTAACTATGGATCGGTTGGGATGGCTCCAAAGCAAGACAAACTGCATTGATCAGATCAGATCCACCATGTCGATGGGTCAGAAACCATGTTATACATATGTTCGTCCAGCGTGGCAGTCGTTGGCAGTCGTTGGGCGTGTCAGACATTGGAGGTAGTCGACTGGGGATTCTCATGGATTCTCTATCGATGTGTAGGAAGTTTACCTGCTTGTTCGTTCGTTTGTTCGTTCGTTTGTTATTTCCACCAGCCACTTCAGTGTGACCAGGGAACGGGACGCAGATCATGTGAAATGCCAACCCATCTCCGGTAGGTAAATGCTACAGCGCCTCTAGTTATATATGATACTAAGCCTACAGAATGCAGGGGGTTAACCCCTACACAATGATCATTTGGTAGTGGACAGGCTGTGTGCCCAACCCCTGAGGTTGGGCACCAACATTTTGTGTGTTGCAACAAAAGGGTGTAACATTTGTTTGTAGTGAAAGGGAGATTGATGCTCTGTGGTTGGGCTCCCATTTGTGCAGTGCATACCATGTTGTATGTAGCTCTTAGTGGCCTTGGACCCCTCCAAATTGTACAATTATCTTCCAGGTCCCTCTCTACAAAATGGTTCAAAAACTTTCAGGGGTCATTTTGTAGAGATGGAGGTCTACCAAATAGGGGCCCCGACCCCTCCACCTGAATATCAACGGGAATGTTATGGAATGTTTATATGTTGTTTCAATGCCCGGGTTGTTGTTCAGAAGGTTAGAGAGATGAGTGTTCAGTGTTCATCTTAAAATCATCCAAACAAAAAGCATGGGAGTTAGAGATGCTTACAGCACTTTACAGGTGTTCCTTTCATGCCAAACAATTAAAATTGCCTGGGTTTCAGACATGTTTTTGCATTTTTATAGAATGTTTTTATAGAATGTTGTTTATCACAAAGTTGCTTGGCTTTGTGTTTTTGTTGCTTCGATCAGCGGTGTTGTTCCGGAAGCTCGCCGAGGCTTCCGTACGAGCTTTACTCCTTCTGGGAGGAAGTCTTGGCCAACGAGAGCCAAGCACTCATGAGTCACTGGAAGTATGGCAAGAAAGGCGAGGTGAAACGCACCGAAGCACGGGCTTTTCTCGGCTTTGCGTCTCGGTTCGAGGAAGGAGCGACCGTCATGCGGTCACCCGGAGAAAATGGATCGTACAAGTACCTGTCTTGTGATATCATGTTCCATTTTCTAAGGTACTGGGTCAGTCGGGTCGAAGTCGGCTCCAGAGGGGTCCAGGTACACAACAGCGGTCCGGGTATGCTTTGCGGATTTCACGGAGAGCGGATAGCAGGGCCAGGAATGGAAGGTTCTGAGATGTTCTCAGCAATTGATTCATTTCTTTCCTCCAAGTTCAGCCATGGTAAAATTGACCCCCGACCAGTTCTTCTGGATTGAGCGCAGGCGACAAGAATCATCGCCGAGAGCTCTTCAACATTGAGCCCTACATGATTCTGGACCCAGATGAAATGGATTGCACCATCGCCTACATGTCGCAAGGCGAGCGGTCTTCGCACGGTGCGAGGGCGACCAGGGGGCACGCACGGTTGATTTGCTCGAGACGCAGAGAGGGGCATATGCGGCATGGTACACCCTCCCCAAACCATGGCCCTCGCCCTACTCTGGAAGAATGCTGTTTCTGTGGCTGTGATCATGGTGCATTGTCACTCAAGCGGCTCGTCTACACATCATTCAGAAAAGCAAAAAACTCGGCCAGTTTGTCCTGATGTGTTTGTTCCTGTGCAAAATTGCGCATAAATTGCGACCCCTCACGGAATAGGACGAGGAGATGGGCATTTGCCTATTATGGGCATAATTAGTCTTTAAGAAGGGTTTCTACCCTACCCTGCCTTTTGGAAGACCAGTTTGTGTCCTCTACAAACTGATCAGCTCCACTTTCCACTACAAACTGGAGTCCAAGAGTCTTGGAGATGAACTGATCAGCTCCATTTCCATGAGTCTTGCAGATGGTGTGGTTTTCCCCTAAAAGTTTTGTTTCCCATGCTCCTGCCAGGCTTGGAGGACCTCTTTGGCTACTGGCGCGCCTGGGCACTCGGGCGACACTTCCGCTTCCTGCCACTCGACCAGGAGGTGTCAGAGGTGCTCGGTGGAGTGGAGGCTCTGCAGTGGGGTAACTCTTCCTGCTGCTTTGGCATAGGGAAGTTGTTTGGATTGTTTATCGCCGGGTTCCTGAAGCAAATCCAAGTGGCTGAGGTGAAGGTAAACCATGGTAGATCTATTTCCATGTATATACATCGCGGCCTTGGATGACCAATCCGAATGACATCCAAGGATTCATAGATTGCGCGGATGCCGCTGACCCCTTTCTTTTTGTGGGCGTAGAGCACAAGCTCCCATTGTCGATTCTACTCGCACAGCCTTAGCCCAGCTAGGTCTGCGTGCAAACGACGAGCCTGGCAGACGACAGTTTCAAAACCCAACCCACTGAAAGACTGAAAGACATCTGGATACATGTGGCAGACATTTGGCAGCAGCCGTCCATGCAGAGGTCCGACCGGATCTAGGTGTGGACGCGCGCGAGGCTGGAACGGCTAGGATTTTGAAGGATGGCAGCTTTAAAAGACTTATAAGAGCTGGGCAAGGGTGAGGGCTTCACCCTACGGTGTCCTGGGCGCCGCCCAGCTAAGGGGGGGCTAAGCCGGGTTTGGCGGATTTTGCATAGAAACGTGCGACCACGACCAGCTCCTGATCCTGAGCACGGACTATTTGGACCAGGCACTCAGAAGGCAGGTAGAACATGGTGGAACTGGTTGTAGAGCATCAAAGGCAGCAAAGGTCAAGGGTTCTTTGGAAGAAGCCATTCCGCAATATTCCACACAGGTGAGTGCGCACAGATTCTGAGATGTTCCATGCACCAAACGCGTTGCGGGGTTGCATTGTTTTAACTTGCTCACTCCGTAAACCAAGGTTATTGCAAGATGCACTTTGGAACCGTGTGTTCAACGGGCAGGAGAAATAAACAACTTCAACGACCGGCGGAAACGGCGAACTCAGCGGAAACGACTGTTCGGAGCTACGAGTAGCTTCTTGTTCCTAGTAGCGATGCCCTTTGTTACTAGTATAGCTTCTTGCTCCTAGTAGTAATGCCGGGAGCTACTAGTAGCTTCTTGTTCATTTCTCTTTGTAGAGTAAGTTAGGATGTGTTTGCATCGACGCCAAAGGCCCTTGTCTCAGCATGATACACTCACCGACCGACCCCAAGCACAAAAGCACCAAAGCACCGCAAGACGAGGACGAGGCAAGGATCGAATGCTCACATGTGTTTTTGCAGAAGATGTCAAACAATCTGGAAGTGTCCAAATTCGCTGGGAGCAAACTACCCCATCTTGGTAGCCAGTTGCTAGATCACCTTACTAGAATGTAGCCTATAATGATAGATATCGAAAAGCATCGAAAACCCATGGGACCTCTTCTTTGGACTACGCACCACCCAAAAGATAACCATGTTGTAATGTTGTATCAATATTGAAAAAACGACTGTATCTGCATGGGTATACCGCATACCGCGCTCCCGAGCGCTCCCTCGGCCGCATTTTCTCCCTTCAAAACCAGTGTGTTTCTCCGCGAGGAACCCGGACGCATCGAAGAGTTCTGTTACAACCAGGGCCAGAAAGACCAGCGCCGCGGCGACGAAGCGGACGAAGCGTGTCGGCCGAACGGTGGCGGTGAGACCGACGGTGGGAACGGTCGAACGTGGACGTCGGAGGCCGAACGGTGGAACCGAACGGCGACGGACGTTCATCGGACAGGATGGACAGGGGCAGTGCAGAGTTGCTCAACGGGTTCCAAAAGGCAAGGACGTCTGAAGTTTGGAGATTGGTCGAAGCAAATCCATCGACTGGAATCCTGGAATCTCCAATATCCGAAAAGCAGAAAGGAAGGATCGCATCTACATGCATCTACGTTGTGGTTTATAGGGATCTATCCACTCCATTTGGTTGAAACCAAACCGAGCCACTCAACTCACCGACTGAGCCACTTCTCAGCGACTGAGGGGCGCGATGGATTCTGCCAGCCACATGCTGAGCCTGCTCCGTCTCTACAGTGTGAAGACCAAGCAGCCCATTTGGTGCTGCATTTACCTGCGGCACGTCTGGTTGCAGGACCGGGAGGGATCTACACTACACCAGGGTTAGCAGCCATCAGCCAGCAGCCCTGCTCTGCTGACGCAAGAGAAGGTATAAAACAAATTATATTATATAAATAGATATCATATCCATTAAACACAATATCTGGTATAAATAGGTATAACTATATATATATAATAAAAACACGTACAGTAATTAAATTAGCATTGGTTATCTGGAGGAACACTCAATTGAGCATTTATCCAGATTTGCTAGAACATGACTGACCCTCATTTGATGGAACACACTTTCATAAAACAGCTACTCACTGGATGAGGGTTTGGCTTCCAATTGAGCAATCCCAGAGCATAGTTTTGGTGAATAGGCAGTGGTTCATGGTGGGCGGTGTGTCTCCTCGTTTTGAGAGAATTCCATGCTGTTGGCACTATTCTCATTTGTGAAAGGATTGGTTACTTGAATAAATCCATCGACAAGCTACCTTGCCAGCAGGAGTGCAGGTGTACATGGACTGCGTTCAAAAGACCCTACTCCAAAAAAAGGGCCAAGATATATTTTGCGGGATCAATGTGCTCTTTACATGTCTTTTATAGACGTAGCTTATAAGTAGGCCCCGGCCGCGGCCAGACTACGGCGATTCCACAAGGAAGCCGCCCACAATATGCCATTGACACACGATGTTCGAGCAAGATGACCACCATTCTGCAAAGTACATTTGGGCGGCCCAAACTTGTGCTTCGCCGACGCGAAGCGCCTCCAACGGGGTGGACGAAAGCGTCGCAGGACCCCACGGTCTTTGAAAACCAATACGACTTCAGCGCTCGGGCGCCCGATGCCGTTGAACTGGCGGGTCGGATGCCGTCGGATGCGCGGGCCATCGCGCTGGTGGTTCTGTGGCACCGTAGGTGTGGCATCGTGGGTGCCTTTGGTTGTGGCAGCGAAGTCTGAAATACCGTGGTTTCAGAGTAGATGGCACAACCCCCAAGATGTCCATATAAACCACCTAACTTGGGGATTGCGCCTACTCTCAACCCGCTATAAGAGGAACAACCCTTTTGGTGACCAGATATATCTCCTCCATCGGTTCCTGCAGATCCGAAACTCGGTTCCTGAGACCGTGCAAAAAAGGCTGCAGGTGTTAATACACCCTGGAAGACTAACATGGACCCTGAAAACCACTGGTTGGTAGAGGAAAACACTCTTCCAGGGCGCCATTGTCAGAGTCTATGTTAGTTTTTCGGAGTGTAGGTGGACCAGCTGTTTGGTTTAGTCCTGTCTATGATTCGAGTCACGATCCCATTCGCAGGCCAAGCACTTCGTTCTGGCGGTTGTTTTGCCATTGTACACGCAGATGCCAGCCTTGCATGTATCTTGGTCGCATCCTCCCATAGGAGCCCAAATTAAATGATAGGTTTGTTGAAGGACTGGCTTGGTGCAGCTCAGTCGCATTCCATTGAACGACTCCAAAGAGAGTTCCCAAACATATATTTGCAGTTTATTCAGACTTTGCACCCCTGGAGGGCCCTGATCGTACAGTAAGGCTGTGGAGTTGTAGACGAGCTCGAATGGCAGCGGCCATCACGGGATTTCAGTGTTGGGTACCGCCTTGAGGGTTTGCACCGAGGATCTCCTTACTACCAATGATCCAGAGGCGAACCTGCGTTTGACCATCTCACTTCGAAAGCTCCTGCTCGAGAGGAGGGGCATTTGGGATGGTTTGAAGAAAGTCGCTACCTGGTACATGAATTCCATGCCAGCTTGCAAAGAACTGCTAGACTGATGAAGGGGCTGTCGTAGTCTTTGAACACCATCATGTGTTTGTTGCTGCTTGTGGGAGCCCGTGCAGCGTATACACATCAGCTCCCAAGGACCCATTTCTGATTGAGGACAAAACACACACTAACATTTCTTTACGTCGAGTGATCCCCCACCCTGAGAGGTGATTTGGAAGAAGGCAGGACACATGTATTGACATTGACATTGCTTGGCCTGACATTGGCGGTGAATGCATGTTCCGACATGTTATTGTCTTTTAATCAAGACTGGTGCGTTTTGACACACCATCTAGCATACATGCTGAGAAATGTTCTGGAATGTGTTCTGGGGTGTTCCAGCATCCTTTTTGACATATGTTCTGACATTTGTCCGGCTGTGAAGTCTGGCATGTGATACTTCTGACATGCGCTCCTACATCAAATGGGACTAGCAAAAAGCTGTCTAGACTGTCTTAGAAGCTTTGTATACTAAAAA